TGACTCTTGTAAGAGGGGATTTTTTAATTTGAGGGGTGGAGGGGGCATTTTTTAGACATTTTTTAAAAATATATATTTATCTCACCTAAATGTTTGATCATGCAGTGCATTTTTATTTTTACAATCGTGCAGTTGTTGCACAATAGCTTACACACAGCACAAGCCTGATTTTGTGAGCTGTACGCCAGGTTCACACATACTCCTTTTGCAGTGCGCATGCAGTCCATGTGTGGTGCAGAAGCAGCACAGACTGAGCATGCTTTCACACAGGAGTCCGCTACTGATCCGTGGCTGTTTTTGTTTTCCTACCTCCACGAGTGCCATCTATTATTGCCTCGTTTATCTGAAAGTGTTCTTTTCCTTTAAACCTAGACAAAAAGCCTGTGACTGTTGACTGTGAAACACAGTAGACTTTAATTTAATATATGCATTTTATTGGTGTTATTACTAAATTTTCTGTCAATCCATGTTCATATTTAACGCAAAAAATGCGCTGTCACAGCTCCTCTCCTGGACCACAACCGTGTGCAGTATGAACGCTTTAATCCGTTAACATGAGCAAGGAAAAAAATACACACTGCAAACGGAGTATGTGTGAACCTGGCGTTATGTGTGTGCGCTGCGAGTGTGCACGAGCGCACGGTCTCCGGGAGAACACTGGTTAAACACTGGCAAGAATGAAAAAGAAATGCATTTTATAAACTTTAGTGACGATAAGACACTGCCTCGATTGTGCAAGTGACAATTCATGTGGAGCACCCCTAGAAATGAACATCTCATGCCTCACGTGATCGCTCAATCAACCGCGGAAAGACGTCAATAAAACAGCTTGTAAACAAAATGTCACGTAGCATTTCATTGACCTCAGGCAAGTCATCGGTGTCCACAGCTCGTTAGTTCACTAGAGAAATTAAGTCTAGGGAAGAGCATTTCGTGAAATATTAGACTATATACTCATTATATTTTATTTTACCAGTTAGTGATGTCTTAATTATTTAATGCATGTTTAAATAAATCTGTTATGAAACAAGTTATGACAGCCACTGTGTAATTGAATATATTTCAGCAACAAATATAATTTTTATCATTTAGAAGTTAATTTAAAAACTGCATTGTGCAATTTACATTGTGCAACTGCATATATGCAAATTACATTGCATATATATATATATTTTTTTAATTGAGTGTTGATTTATTATATTTAAAAATAAATAGTAATTGAATTTAAGTTTAGGCTCTGTTTTTAATTGTAAAAGGGCTCCCTATAGTTTAGAGCAGTGTTTCTCAACTGGTGGGGGTCGAGAGACCGTTCTGGGTGGGTCACGGAGTGTACAGCCAAAGAAACGACATCAACAACAAAAAATGGCATTCTAAATGTTTTTCTGATGCGAGACTTTTATTTTAAAAGATGTGCATGAAAGCTGTTGACACTTCTGTCAGATACAGTTTAAGTAAAGAGTGCCTGAGAAAAATGCGCTGTCCCGATTCAGTATCTGCGGTCAGATGTTGACAGGCTTAATGTCATTATTCTATCGTTATTTTCTGAGTCTCTCACCTCAGAAAAAAGACCTATCCTGTCCTGCCAGATGTTATAATGCGCACTCTTCAATAGCACACGCAAATGTGGCGGCACACTGCATATCACTTCACTAAAGCGCAGAAACTACGAGCATGCAACACGTAAAATAAAAGTACAGTAGCCTGCTGATAAATCACATAACAGGTACTGCGTGTGTTAGCTGGGAAGGATTTGCATGAAGGTATGATGATATTCATTCTATTCAGGAGCAGTTTCCACGTTTCATTAACAGTTCATGTTAGTGTATATTCACGATGGTAACTGTTGTTTCCATAACCTAAAAATGCCATGTTGTTTTCACTTTGTGTCATTTTGTATGTTTAAATGACTATGGTGGCCCAACTTAATTGTATTAACAAAAACAAGTTTGGGACTGTTTAACAGATAGACACACGTCCTCTTCCAGGCAGATTTGTAACATTTTCTGTTGATTGGAAATTCTTAATTATTGCCCTGATGGTGGAAATGGGAATTTTCACTGCTCTAGCTCTTTTCTTAAAGTCACTTTCTAATTTGTGAAGCTCAATTATCTTTTGCTGCACATCAGAAATATATTCTTTGGTTTGTCTCATTGTGATGTATGATTAAGGGAATTTGGCCTTTGTTTTCCCTCCTATTTATATTTATGTGAAACAGGAAGCCATGGCTGGATAATTTCATGTTCATAATCACCCTGGTATGCTCAAATTTGTAAATATGAATGGAAATATACTTCACAGATATTTTACTCATAAGAATTTCTAGGGGTGCCAATAATTGTGTCCAACGTGTATTTGAGAAAAACATTTTTCATAATGAGATTTTCCCCCATTTTCAGTTGTTTTAGTTCAATGAAAGGTTAGATATTTGTGAAATTTTTTAAATAAAAGATCAAAATGATTAACAATGCAGATTTATTTTCACCTTCTTTGATCATATTTACCAAGGGTGCCAATAATTCTGACCACGACTGTAGGCTGTTTATTCAGTATTAGTCATATTCTTAACAGTCTTAATTTTTGGGAAATAAATTTGCTTTGTTTTTGTTTTAACAAATTTTATATATAACAATATAATATAATAAATATAATATAATATAACAATAAAACGTGGGTCCCAAGGCCAAACCAGTTGAGAACCACTGGTTTAGAGCATAAGCTGAGGTAGATTTCTGTCCCTAAGAAAATGTATTATAATTAAATTATTTTAAAGAAAGGGCAATTTGTTCCGTAAACCACAGTTTAATAAAAAAAAAAAAGAAGCAATTTTATGTTTAGTTTTTCCCCCCGCTGTGCCGAAACTACACCAAACGTGACATCAAAACCAAGGTACGCACCGAACCATTACATCCCTACTAATTACCCAAGCTTACTTTGGCTTTTCTGTGTAACAGGTTGTTCATCTTAAAGCTGAGAGAAAAACTGACAATCAAGAGATTGACATCAAGATCCAGTTGACAAAGATTCTGCCGCCCAGCTCTGATCTGTGTATCCCATTCTACAACGTGGTCCTAAGGAGGTGTGTATTCTCCATGTATAATATAAGGATTCTCAAGACACTGCAGGTCATATGCAGGGCTCCAGACTGCGACCATTTTTTCTGCCTGTGCGACTAAATTTTGTGAGCGGTCGCACTGGCGCGACCACCGCATTGTTTAACTCATAAGCTCTGCCATTTCTGTTGCATATGAGAAACATCAAACGGCAAACGAAACTGAAAGCATAACGAAACCGCGCTACTCGTTTGAACTGATCAGCGCTTCGAGTGTAGAGCCTGGTTTATACTCACCGTGTCAGCACGAGCGCGAAGCTGCGCGCAGCAAAAATGATGCAAATATTGAGGAAACGATGGATGGTTTTCAAGCTAAAGTAAAAGACCGCTTCTTAAACCAGAGAAGGTGAACATGTTGGTATTCATATGGGGAATGATTTGATTCCTCAGGGTTTGCTAAACGTTCTGTAATTTATTAGTCGGTATATAATACAGCATGTGGTGTATGCTATGCCTCATCTTATTCGTTTTTGTTAATACGTTACAAGATCGCGAATAACACGGCAAACGAGGAACTCCCGTTCACAAAATTCAAATCACAAATAATACTACTGATGAAAAAGAACAGGTTGAATGTTAACCACTTTCGTTTCCATATAACTATAAACTATGATAAAAGCATGCATTGATTAATCCCATGTTGTAGCGCAAAATAAAATAAAATATTGCGACCAAATCATGTGCTCGTGCGACCAACTGAGAAAGTTAGTCGCAAAAGAGAGACCAGTGGGAAGAATGAGACTGGAGCCCTGAGATGTGTTTGTGATTTGTTCTTCTTGTTTTGCTCTTTCATGGTTTGAAATGTCCTCCTTTGAGAGAAAACAAATGTGCTCTCTTTCATTAATTTATGAACCCACTAATGGTTTTAAAAGAGTTTGATGTATTACGTAGACATAATGTAATGTTCAGAATTAGGGATGCAACGATTATAGATTTTGTTGGTATGATTATTACATTAGACATACTAAGTATAGTTGAAATCTGTTAACATATTTCTCATATTGCTCAAGACTTACTAATATAAAAATTATACTTTATTTCGAGCACTACTTGTGCACAATGCACATTTCTTAATATTAAGCTTAAAATGTGTTTTAATGTCACTATTGATGAGGATTATATAATCTTTGAATAATATCGGTCTTCAAATGTAAGATTTTTTCAAGTGTACTTTTTTTGAAGTGTACTTGCAATAGTTCCACTTTTGCACGATCAAATATCTTTAGTTGGACTTCAGCATTACTTCTGCACAATTAAAGTGCATTAAACACAAAATGAGTTGTTCCAATTTAGCAGACTTTAAGTATACCAGGTTAATATACCAAAAGTACAGTTGCAGGGTATTTTTATTAAGTACATAAATATGTAAATGTATTTGTAGTATACCTAGCATGAAATAAATGTTTCAAATACTAGGTATGCACCGATATGAAAATTTTCGCCGATACCGATAATTCTTTATATATGAAAGCCGATAACCGATATGTTGCCCGATAAATCTAAATCCAAATTTTAATATAATTTTTGAGAGCCTGATTACAAAAATAGCCTCACCATTAAAAGCTATTAAACACTTCAACATAAATCAAACATAAAGCAGCCTTACAAATAAATAAAATAATGCAAACAAGTCTCTAGACAACATTACTTGCGTGTAAAAAAAATCTAAAATCATGTGCCATGGATAAATTAAACGGAATAGACTTCGCACAGACAATAATGAAATTATTTTAATTAAACCATATTGTTGATGAAAATAATAAGATAAAATTAGGTTGGTTAGTATTAATAATATATCAATGATTTTGAAAAAGAAGTACCTTAAATTAATACCATTGTTTCAAATGGCAGCATTTCTGTTTAAGCTGCATGCGCTGTTGCTGAAGAGCTGAATGAACACCGGTAAACTGAAGCGCTTTGTTAGTGGGTTAATTATGCTATATGAGAATCAGATATTTATACAACATAAACATAATATTATAACTTACAAGTGCACAAAAAGACACAAATGCACAAGTGATCTTGAACTAAGTTACGCGCTAGTCAGATGTGTAACTCGACGTGCTGTTCTTCCCGTAACAACGAGCTGAAACACGGCAAATAAACCCAAAGAGTTCACAACTTTTATTACGGTAATATTCTCTTCATAATGTTACGCATATGACATTCCCAGTTATACTAGTTATTAAGGTTGTGCACTGCTGTTCACGCTGCGTGCGCTGAAGCTGAAGAGCTGAATGAACACCGGTAAACTGAAGCGCTTTGCTGGCAGCTTATTTAACTCAAGGAAACGCATAATATATTCGATTAATCAGATATGAGATTAATCAGATATTTATACAATATAAACATAATGTTACAACTTATATATGTACAAAAAGATGCAAATGCACAAGTGAACTCGAAGTAAGTTACGTGCTAACCAGAATGTGTAACTTCTGTTGTGGATGCGCTCTTCCCGCAACAACGCGCTGAAAACACGACAAATTAAACCAAAGAATTCACAACGTTTTATTATAATAGTGTTCTCATTATAATGTTATATATGCGCTGCTGTTTGAGCTGCGTGCGCTGAGCTAAAGATGATCATCGGTAAACTGAAGCTCTCTATTAGACAAACGCATTCTATATGTGATAAATCAGACCTATCAAATGCACAAGTGATCTTGAACTAAGTTACGCGCTAGTCAGATGTGTAACTCGACGTGCTGTTCTTCCCGTAACAACGAGCTGAAACACGGCAAATAAACCCAAAGAGTTCACAACTTTTATTACGGTAATATTCTCTTCATAATGTTACGCATATGACATTCCCAGTTATACTAGTTATTAAGGTTGTGCACTGCTGTTCACGCTGCGTGCGCTGAAGCTGAAGAGCTGAATGAACACCGGTAAACTGAAGCGCTTTGCTGGCAGCTTATTTAACTCAAGGAAACGCATAATATATTCGATTAATCAGATATGAGATTAATCAGATATTTATACAATATAAACATAATGTTACAACTTATATATGTACAAAAAGATGCAAATGCACAAGTGAACTCGAAGTAAGTTACGTGCTAACCAGAATGTGTAACTTCTGTTGTGGATGCGCTCTTCCCGCAACAACGCGCTGAAACACGACAAATTAAGCCAAAGAATTCACAACGTTTTATTATATTAGTGTTCTCGTTATAATGTTATATATGCGCTGCTGTTGGAGCTACATGCGCTGAGCTAAAGATGATCTCAGGTAAACTGCGCTCTATTAGCTTAACCAAACGCTTTCAATTTGTGATAAATCAGACCTATATGCATAAAATAAACACAATATTACAACGTACAATTGCACAAAAGACTGCAAATGCACAAGCGAAAATAACTGCGCTTGTCATGAAGGTGCAGCTCCGTTGTGAATGCGCTCTTCCCGTAACAATGCGCTTAAACACGGGCACACAAAGATTCCATTATTTAACAGTAATGTTCTTATTATATTATGACAGACTTTTCCTGCACATGTTGCACTTCACTGTATTTTCCTTTTCAAAGTGATTCCAATAATATTTCAAGCAATTAAAAACCATCATGGCGAACAGTGCGCATCTGAAGTGTGTCTGCAGGAAATAATGCATTATTTATCGGCTTTAATATATCAGTTCAATAACGATAACATTAAAATTAACATATATCGTGCATCCCTATCAAATATATTTTAGTATATTTATTTTTCACTAGAGTTAGGGTATACAGCCTTAAGACTTTAACACATTACAAATATATGTACATTTATTTTTAGTATACTTGGCATGAAATAAATGTATTTCAGATTAGTGCTGGGCGGTAGAGACCTGCGCGGGACGGATTTTTCCAGCTCCCGCGAGATTCTGTCCCGCGCCCGCCCGCTCCCGCTCACAAGCCACTGTTATTTTTAACCGAAAAGCAAGCATGGGCTGCTGTGTGCATGGTTTGGCATGGCAGAATGCGAGCAGCGCGCTTCCTTTATTATCACTAAAAGCTGACATCTCAGTTAATCACGATCTCATAAAGCTCTATTATAACACATTAAATATATGCACAATGAATCGTTCACAGTGTCTACACTTCGTGTGTTAAAATGAGAGGATTCGAGAGCACGCAATTTCAGCACTGCAGTGAGTAGTTCTAACTCAATCACCTCTGATTGGCCATTGCTTTCCAGAAATCAACAGCTGAGTCTGTGATTGGCTACCGTTCTATTAGTTCTACAGCTTCAGTTTCGGAACTTTCACGCTTAGTAACACATACAGCTGTTCCCTCACCACAGTGCAACAGTGAAAAGGGACCCCTTTCAAACAGTGTTGCGTTCCGAACGTTGTTTAAGCGACATACGTATAGCGGTATTTAAAAAATTCATATCATAACAAAAATAAACACCGGTATTCGGTATGAACCGGTATACCGCCCAGCACTATTTCAGATACACTCACTGTACTTGGTAGAGGTCCCTGTGAAACATTGCAAAGGCAACATACATTAGCAAATTCATATACTGTAGATCCAAAAGTACTGCAGTATGATGTGTTATTGTGAAAAGCTTCTGAAAAAGTGTAGTGTGTCAGACAAACAGACAATTTGTAGTGCTGTTATCTGTAAGGGGTGAAAACTATGCATCAAGTCTAAATTGTGACCCTGGAGCACAAAAGCAGTCTTAAGTCGCTGGGGTGTATTTGTGTATTTGGGTCAAAATTATTGATTTTTCTTTTATGCCAAAAATCATTAGGATATTAAGTAAAGATCATGTTCCATAAAGATATTTTGTAAATTTCCTACCGTAAATATATCAAAACTTAATTTTTGATTAGTAATATGCATTGCTAAGAACTTCATTTGGACAACTTTAAAGAGGATTTTCTCAATATTTAGATTTTTTTGCACCCTCAGATTCCAGATTTTCATATAGTTGTATCTCGGCCAAATATTGTCCTCCTATCCTAACAAACCATACATCAATGGAAAGCTTATTTATTTATAGCTTTCAGATGATTTTAAAAAAATTGACCCTTATGACTGGTTTTGTGGTCCAGGGTCATGTACTTGAAATTGAATATCGAGAGAGAAAAAAAACAACTAACTCTGCCGCAGAGAGAATGTAACATTTCTCTCAGTGTTTTCAGTAGGCATAATTCTGTTACAGACAGACAAATAATTCTTCCCTCTATTGTAAGACAAAACCCTTAGCAGTCATATCGCTCAGCGGATTCCCTGGTGTGATGTCCTGGAGTTTCAGCACTGGGCATGTCTGAAGTCAACCATGTTTGAAATCTACAATTAGCTGCGGTCTCGGTGGGGACTGAACACCCTGTTTGCTCTTGATAGCCAGGAGAGAAAACATGCTCCTGAGAGACTGCTCAGCTGCGCCTGCTTCACTCCGTTTCCCTCCACAGCGTCCGTTAAAGATCGGAGATGGGGGTCATCAAGCAATTTTGGAAAATTAAATGTGTAATCGCATTACGGAGCCATGTGAGCAACACGAAGAGTGAAGACTGTGGATTCTTTTCTGTGTTAAAGCAATATTGCGGGTTCAGTGCAAGTTAAACTCATTCGACAGCATATGTGGCAGAATTTTGATTAGCGCAAAAAATATTGACTTCAAAAGGCAAAAAGTGAGGTTATTTACAATAGAAAATGAGTGGGAGTGGTTTTTGGAGAGTTTAAAGGCAAGAATGTGATGCTTTTGATTTTATTAAAGCTCTAATATTATTAGTATAAATTAGGGCTGCCACTAACGACTATTTTTATTTTGATTAATCTATTGACTAATTTATCGATTAATCTAAACGATTAATTTCCCACAAAAAAAATCAACAATTTTACTTAAGAATATTTTATTAAACTATATTTCATTAAACCAAATGAAATCCAAAAGTTAAAAAAGTACAGTGCAAGAAGCAAGTGCCCATCTCATAGTCCAAATCACTGAAATCAAAGTTCAGTATTATAGTGTAAGAATGACAACATATCCACGTGTTCTAGTCTACTAATAGTAAAATTATATTCAAAAAACACATTTTAAAGGAGTATTTACCAGAAATATTATTTACCAGAATTTATTTAGGAGAAAAATGTAAATGTGCAGTATTTCTGAAAAAAAAAAAAAAGAAGAAAATTA